ACTTTTTCACATTGGAATTAAACATTTTTATTTATTAAATTAATTTTCTTAACGAAACAGTTATCGTGTAGTATGCATTTATCGTAGACGATAAAACAGTCATCTACATATCTTTGAAAACTTATTATACTTCGGGATTTATTGATTTTTTTACCAATTATAATCATTCACAACTCTGTTAATCTAGAACCCATGCAGAATCCCATTTGTACACCTTCCGATTGTCGGTAATATTTATATTGAAATTCAAAAACTTATTTCAAATAATAAGTTTTTAAACAATTGGTAAAATTGATCTTAAATGATCTTAAATGATCAATTTTACCAATTGTTTAACCCAATCTGGGCTCTTCATGTAGGACAGTGAATTTAAAATTAATTCTAAATTTATTGACATTATTTGTAACAAGGCAGTTGGCTTCACACAGTCTTACGGATTTTATGGCAGTTGGCCTTTGTAAAAGATCTGGTTTATTTTTGGTCGGCCTTGGTGTGAGAAGCCCCCCAAATTGTTAGAGTCCTATTTATTACGCTATCTAAATTAAAATCCAGAATTAAAAGCATCGTTTATTATTATTAAGTTTTAATTAATTTTTATTAAAAAATTAAGTGTATTTTAATTTCGTAATATATTAATAAGATGTTCTATCATTCATTCTACATTTCAATATCATTTATTTAAACGCAGATTGAAGAAAAATATTGATAATTAATATTTCAATATACATTACATTTCTTGTCCGAAAATGTGTCAGAAATAGAATTTAACATTTATGCAACGTAAAAGACTTGATGATGACAATATCGGCAGCTTTTTAACAATGCAAAGAGCAGCTTAAAATGTTATCCATTTCTAATCAAATCCAAACTTTAATTAAAAAATTTATAAATTTTGAGTACTGTACTGTAAAGAATCAAGTTTCAATGGTCGACATAGCGGAGTACCCACGATCTGAACTAGAGAGGGGCAACTCATAGTTGTGCAACAATAGCACGAACAGCGAAATAGTTTTAAGTTAATCGTGACAGATGACTTTAAGATCTAATCTAGTCACAATATTCACTATTCAAACCGATACTAAATTGCTATGTTTGCATTGTGTGTCAATTACTACACTTTCATTTTTCTTTTAGAGGGGGTAGCTGCCCTCTCCTACCACTCGATAAACATTTTCTGCTCGTTATAATCTCTTCTTTTATTTTTAAAACAGATACGAATCTTTCTGAAAATAAAGACAATAGTCAGGAGCCGAAAATGAATCTTCCGTCAGTGTCCTTTTTACCAGTCTTGTGGAACATTGTATTTTGTCAACGTAACAAGCAATGTCACAATTTGCAAATCAACATATGTATGTCATTAATACTTTGTTGGATAATTTGACTGATTATAAATGCATAAATATTTTTCGTATCTTTCCAGTAGTTTCAAATGCACTTACTGGATTCTCTGTGGTATTTCCAAACGAGAAAGTTGCCTGTATAAACATATCTGGATATAAATTATTTTTTTTCTTACATCCAGAATCTGCAAAGGTAATATAACATGCCTAGTTATGTAATATATTCATTACAAATGGAAATATACAGTATTATGTTTTGTAGGAAGTGTTAAGAAGCAACAGTTTAATCAATAAGGATTCTTTTTACAATTTCTTTAAGCCACTTCTCGGAGACAACAGTCTTCTGTACAGGTAATGCATTATTTGATATTTGGTATAAATATCGTTGCTTACAGTTTTCTGAGTTTAATTAAATAAAGTCCTGACGATAACTGGAGAAGAAGAAGAAGATACTTAGCTCCACATTTTCATCTTCGAAATGTGAAAGATGATCAAAATGTATTTATGGAGCATTCAAATGTCTTAGTGGAAAAACTCAAACAATTGCAGGAAAATGAAATATTCGATGTCCTAAAATGGATGAAAAATTGCACTCTCGATATTATTGCAGGTAGTCTAATGTAAAATATTTATTTAAAAATTATAAATAATTATTTGTTTACATGTAAACATTAAATAAGTATTTATTTTTCCATGTTATTGCTTATAACTTAAAAAAAGTATAAAATGAATTTAAAAAAAAGTGGAGTGTGGCTGTGTCCAAACATGGCTGTGTGTTTTACGTGAATACGTGTACGTCAACGGATATTATTTTCTTTTAGCGTACTATAAGTATGTCATAATCATTCTTTTACAGTAAGAAGTCTTTCGTATCTCTATTTTTGTTTTTACGTTCCTGGCACTGTTTCACTCTATTATATGGTTTTTATGGGTATATCTGGATTGCTCTTGAAAAGCCCTTTTCAACAGTAGACGATTTCTATGTTTTGATTTAGCTTTTCGACGAGCATAGGCCTACATTCNAGTGTCCTTTTTACCAGTCTTGTGGAACATTGTATTTTGTCAACGTAACAAGCAATGTCACAATTTGCAAATCAACATATGTATGTCATTAATACTTTGTTGGGTAATTTGACTGATTATAAATGCATAAATATTTTTCGTATCTTTCCAGTAGTTTCAAATGCACTTACTGGATTCTCTGTGGTATTTCCAAACGAGAAAGTTGCCTGTATAAACATATTTGGATATAAATTATTTTTTTTCTTACATCCAGAATCTGCAAAGGTAATATAACATGCCTAGTTATGTAATATATTCATTACAAATGGAAATATACAGTATTATGTTTTGTAGGAAGTGTTAAGAAGCAACAGTTTAATCAATAAGGATTCTTTTTACAATTTCTTTAAGCCACTTCTCGGAGACAACAGTCTTCTGTACAGGTAATGCATTATTTGATATTTGGTATAAATATCGTTGCTTACAGTTTTCTGAATTTAATTAAATAAAGTCCTGACGATAACTGGAGAAGAAGAAGAAGATATTTAGCTCCACATTTTCATCTTCGAAACGTGAAAGATGATCAAAATGTATTTATGGAGCATTCAAATGTCTTAGTGGAAAAACTCAAACAATTGCAGGAGAATGAAATATTCGATGTCCTGAAATGGATGAAAAATTGCACTCTCGATATTATTGCAGGTACTTCTAATGTAAAATATTTATTTAAAAATTATAAATAATTATTTGTTTATACGTAAACATTAAATGAGTATTTATTTTGCCCTGTTATTGCTTATAACGTAAAAAAAGTATAAAATGAATTTTTAAAAAAAGTGGAGCGTGGCTGTGTTCGGAACACGGCCGGGTGTTTTATGTGAATACGTGTACGTTAACGGGTAACATTTTTTTTGAGTGTATTATATCTATGTCATAATCATTCCTTAACAGTAAGAAGTCCTTCGGATCTCCATGTATTTTTAACGTTCCCGGCACCGCTTCACTGTATCATACGGTGTTTAATGGGTATCTCTAGAATGCTCTCGAAAAGCTCTTTCCAACCGTATACGATTTCTATATTTTGATTTGGCTTTTCGACGAGTATAGGCCGACATTGTATTGAGTTTTGTTAATTTTTAACTTTAACACCATATATATTCACCATAACTATTCAACATTAATGTTTTGTGCACAGAGTCGATAAATATTAACGATAGCTGTAAATTTAAACTGAAACGAGCATCGTAGCTTCTCCGAGTCAAAATGTATACTAAACGGAAAGTATGTAACTCTTCAAAATGGCGGCGCTTCCCGCTCCACCGCGCGCAATGCGTCACAGTGCCCCCTCAACGTAATGAATTCTTTGATCCTTTAACTATCGAGTGGTTTAATAAAATTTTGGATTTAGATGACAGATATGTAGCTGCAATGCCAAACTGTAACCCTCGATTTTGTTATAATCAGTTTTTTGAATCGCTTCTTACTACGGAAGCAAATTTAAAGACTTATTTACGTCAAAAATAATATATATACACATGTATACAAAATATTTCATAGTGTTTTTGGACAATACAAATGCTACTGCAAGAAAAGTAAGATACGAAACTTTCTTCAACGAAATCAACACTATTTTAACACTATAATTTAACACTATTACGTCGCACGGTAGTAATTACCGTGTGACGTGTAAGTGTTATAGAAACTGTTTGACTTAGTCGTTTAAAAGATTGACACACAGCACGACTTTCCCTTTAGTGTATATGTCACTTTTATTATCAGTGGGTCTGTTTAATGACAACAGTTAGAACTATCGCTGACTTTAGGATAAAATAAACAGTAATGTTTCGTCCAGTACTGTATTCTTTAGTAAAATTACTCTGTTCTGCGGTGCCTTCTCGAAACTGAATATTATTTTCATACGACGTGCATTTATTTTAAAAATATAAATGTTAATTTATTTTTGTGCACTGTAGATATAGCAGTAGGAGTTTCTCTACATTCTCAGACTAACGACAATCAAGAATATGTTTCCGCAATGCATAGGTATGGAAAATTCAATTGAATATTTCATTTATTTTTCAAATAATATTTACAAATGTAATTTCTATTAATTAAATAATATGATGTCAGTTTTTATCTGATGAAATTTTTAAAATGTTCGAGTCAACTTTAGTAGAATAAATATGAAACATTCCAAATTTTCATTTTTGATCGATTAACCGAATTTTAAAAGTTTGTAAATTATAAAGAAGTGTTATTGCTATACGTGCTGATCATAATAAATACAGGTAACCCCCGTATAACACGGGAGTTATGTACCAAAAAATTGTCGTGTTATGCGAATCCGTATTATACGAAACAAAGTTCGAAAAGGGTGGTTAGGTTCCGAAAATAAAAAAAAAACATGCTATTATATTTTCATAATTAAGATAAATATCTATATTAAAATTTTCTTAAGGGATACATATTAATATAAATTAAACAACGTTTTCTTTGTCATCACTAAGCACTATTAACCGAGGCCGTTTTATTTTTGGCAAGATATCCTTATCCTATGTGCATATTTCTGCATTATCTTCAGATCCGTGTTCTACCTTTTGCAAAAAATATGTTATTTTAGATTGCTCGCTTTTAATTAAAAGATCTTCATTAATTTCCTTATATGATGCTAAGCACTTATAAAGAATAAAGCATGTGAGGAATAAGGGAAAACATCTGGCAACAAAAATTAGTAACGTAGAGATCTGGCAACACTAAAACAAGTTTCGAGAAGGATTACGTGTATCGAGAGAAAGCGGGAAAAAAATTTATATAACTAAGTACTAATAGTTCACGAAAATTGTTATTTTCGTGAACTATTAGTACTTGAGTATGTGAAAATTTATTACATTTTGTGTTGTAATAATAAATAATTAGTATTCATTAATATTCGTATTTTTCTTCTGTTTCTCCAATACTGTAGGAGAAGTGTTTGTGATAGTTTGAGAATACGAGGACACAGGGTCTGTACCCTAATTGCCACTTACAGGTCGAGTTGGTAAAACTCGCCCAATTTGTGTTTTGGAGGCTTTACACGAGTGGCGAAGGAGTAGAGCTAGTCGGCAAGTGTCCGTGTTTCAGAGTGACAGGAGACAGGTTTTTAACAGACAAGAACAAGAATTTATTACATAACTAAATCTAAATTACAAAAGGTTATAGGAAGCTAAATGCGATTAAATACTAACAAAGATCTATACAAAAAGAGTAGCTCTTAGCTAAGCCTATTCCCGTTAGCTGCGGAGAGAGAGTTCTCAGATCGCTATCGAAAGTACCTCTATGCGTGAAGGAACTGTATGCGACGATCGGTCCGTAGGAAGAATCATTGTCATTGTCCTTGTCCGTTGTCTTCATGACAGGATCAAGGACTCGGAGACTAAATGTGCACTATTTCAAGTACAACTTCCTTTCGATCGCCTCGAACTTCCAGTAGTTTTTGCTTTTATACAAACGTTGTGGGAAAGGGGTCACATGATCGTCCGTTGTTGACGATGACAGTGCAGTCTTGACAACGAAGTCTCAACTTTCCCATTGACCTCCGATCTGACTCTCCGTTTTTTTCCGTGGATGTTTACATTTCGAAAAAATCGATTGGCATTAATGTTAAGATCCCATTAAAAATTTGCGTGCTCACAATAGCGTAAATTTAACGTTCAAATATCCAATTAACATATGAAAATATACAGTGTAGCAACTTATTTCTTATATCTTTCAGAAATAAACTAATTATGACTTCAAATAATTATAAAGTTTGCTTAAATTTTATAACCACAAAAATAGGGAAAAAATGATTACACAAATTAATCACTTAAAGTATATTTTATAGATTTTAAATTATTTTAATTTAAAAAAAAAATTCTATAATGTTTTTCACACGAAATATAATTTTAAATTTTATGTAGATTTAACAGTTGACAGTACTTTATTTCTACTTCTTGTTCAAGTTTTAAATTTGCATTAATTATCTTTTGATATATTAATAAATTTATATAAAAATTTAGAATTCTGAAATATTTTCCTGAATGGATGGTGAGTCCAATGTACTGGTTTTCTCCAGTTTTCTTCATGAGTAAAATGGGAAGAAATTACAAGAGAGATATTGAAATAATTCATCGTTTCGACGAAAAGGTAAACTCAACTTGTTTATGGAATTTTGTGTTGCGATTTAAGTAATTAATAAATTAATTTAATGCGAAGGTATTCAAGAGAAAAAAAGAAAACTTTGTAAAAAAAATGCAGCAGCAACATTCATTAGACAATGAAACACGTAATGCAGAGGATCCAAAAATGAAAACAAAACAGTGTATTATCGATTCACTGTTGAATCTTCAAGTAAATCAAGGTTTAATGTCTGAAGAAGACGTTATAAGAGATATGGAAGGTTTCATTTTCGCGGTAGGTATAATTTACTGAAGGTCTAAACGAAAATAAGTATATAATCGTGCAGGCGTGTATTTTAATGTGATATTTCTATTATTTTAAAGTAAACTAATGTTTTTCCAAAAAAAGCAATTGATTATTATAGTAAATAATATTTGTAATTTCGGATTAATGTATAATTTCTTAACATTTAAAAATTTGTAGTGCTGAAATTTGAATTTTGTCATATATTTTGTCAATTTTGTTATATTTTTATTATGTGAAATATCACTGAAAGAAAATTTCGGATATAAAACAATTGATCTATTTATTATTATATATTTTCTCTATTTGTGCAGATATAGGAAAAGTATAATTTTGACAAATTAAAAATGTGCATCTATCGGTGAATTTTTAACATTTCGAAGATTATTTAAGACGGGAAAGTCGGGTAAAAAAGGATAGTCGTATCTTACTTTTTCGACTTTATATCTGGTCCATTTCGAATGCGTGTTTTCATATTTCTTTATTAAAACAGTAGTTTGTAAATATATGACTCAGTTCTCTGGTAATAATTATCCGTTTTGCAATTATTTTCTTGACTATTAGTTAATCAATTTCCGTTTATAAATACGATTGAAAGTATTCAAAGCAAATAATATCTGAGGTGATGACCGAAAAATTTTCATAATTCGAAATAATTCTGCCCATAATCCAGAATAATCGGAAATGTAAATATAGCCACGTCGTTATATTATCACATGCAGTAAATTGTCTTAAGTCAAGACAATTTAAGCTGGCCGATGAGTACTTTGCTTTCTCGATCGATTAATTACACAGTTCATCTCTTATTTCGTCCATTGACCGAAGACATTTTGTTCATAGAATTATTCAAATTATATCGAATGTCGGGGAAAAATTTTTAGTTTCATTGAGGAACTGAATCTTCCTTTGCAATGGCGTACATGTGTAGCATTGTGTTCTCCTATCCATGTTAAAATTATAAACAGAATTGTTATAATGAATTATTTAAAAATTTTAATTACCTTTTTCTTTGAAGCAATTTTGTAATTTCTCTCCGTCTACGTCAAATTTCTTATATGTATCTATATACAGTACACTACTAAGTGAAGTGTTAGTAGTGTACTGTATTTCTTCGCAAATTAGGCCTAATCTCCAATAATTACGTTTTCCGCAAGAAGTAACAGTTCGATCAATACTCTTTTCTATTAATATTATTTTTTTATCTTTGATTCCATGTATAAACGCCTGTTTTCCGGAAAAAAATAAGGCTTTTTTTTCCTAATTTCATTTTTTCTCCAAAACTTACGCCGGATACAATTTGTGCCATTTGAACGTTCCTGGACTGTTTTCTTATTGGAAAAAAACAATATTCTCTGGAAATAACATCGTTAATATTATGAAGGACTATGTGAATTGCATATGCGAAATGTCGCAAATTTGTGGTATTTAACTATGTCTCGAGAATACGACGTTGAAAATAACACTTTCGTAAATCCTAGCTTAGTACTATATTTTGAAATCGATGATAATCTACTACTATTTTGGTAGAAGTAACCTTATTAAGCTAAAATATAGATTTTTTAAGTCGAGGATGTTGTATGTCATTGTGTACTTTTCCACACAGTTTTGATGATTCAACATTGTGTAAAATTTAGCCAGTACATGCGTGGCAATGACGATACAAGTAATGTAGTTGTAGATTTTTAAGTGATATCACACGAATAGGAAAGAAGTGCTGTATTTATTCATGTCATGTCCTAATTTTACAAATTTATTATATTATATTTATTTTACTAAAAATATACATTATAAAGAATGCAATTTTATATACCATTTCAACGTATTTTAATATCAGGGTTACGATACAACCGCCCACGCCATGTCATGGACTCTCTATTTCCTGGGAAGATTTCACGAAATACAAGAGAAAGTGTATCTAGAATTACAAGAAATTTTTGAAAATGATATGAACAGAGATATTACTATCGATGATCTGACGAAAATGACGTACTTGGAATGCGTGATTAAGGTAAATTTTTCATTTTTTAAAATACATTCAAATATTAGTTTCATACATTACAATTTTCAGGAGTCGATGAGAATCTATCCTCCTATTCCTGGTATTGCAAGAAAAAATTCTTCCGAAATGAAAATAGGTAAATTTTTTACATTATGCGATTTGTTTTTAAATAATAATATTTTATATTTGTTATCGACTTAAAGCATGAAATTGATGTCATTCAAACAGGTAATTACGTGTTGCCTGCAAATTCGACTCTTCTCATAAATATCTATGGTATCCATCATAATCCTTCTGTTTACGAAAATCCCGAAGTTTTCGATCCAGACCGTTTCCTACCTGAAAACTATAAATTGCTTCATCCTTACGCATTTCTGGCATTTTCTACCGGTCCACGAAATTGTCTCGGTAAGTGATTAGTGAATAAATACAAAAATGAAAGAATTATGTCATTAAAAGAATTTATTTACAGGAAGTAAACTTGCCATGATTGAAATGAAAATGGTTTTGGCAAATGTTCTTCGTAATTTTAAAGTCTACTCTTTGGATCCTCAGGACAAAATCGTTATTTCATACGCAGTTATGTTGACCCCAATACCGGGTATAAGAATGCGTGTAGAAAAAAGACGAATGTTGTAAGATATTTACTAATATGTATAGTACGTTTGGGTAATTTTTGTTTCAAATATATATCAATATTAACATTGGCCTATATCACATAATCTCGGCGAATGAATTTAGAAACTGTATCGAAACAATTATACTTTTATTCAACATTACTCATTTATTGTATTTCATATTAAATTTGCTTTACATTAATACTATTTTTGTTGTTTATTGCATTTTATTCATTTATCACATTAATCATTTCTCATATTTAATTTTACGTATATTAAACTGTTGTTAACAATATACTAGCTGTATCGTATGAATTGGGCCAAACATAAATAATTTACTTTTAATTTTTAATTAGAGATTCAGACTATGTACAAAAAATTATTTAATTTTTGAATCTATCAATTAATCCCTTTTTTCACACACCATAGAAGTAGCCTTTACATTAATTTGAAGAAATTACTTCATAAAAACGAATAACAATAGGTAAATTGTAACTATATGCAAATCAAAGATAACTCGTATCTACCACTAGAGGGCTTGAACCTGATACAGATGGTATAAAACTTGGCAGATGGTGAGAAGATTTACTACATTTTTAATGTGAAGGTGTCAGATACCTAAAATGAGAGGCTGACGTCTAATCGCTTTTAATTGTAAATTTTACCTATTGTTATTCGTTTTTATGAATTGATTTCTTCAAATCAATGTAAAGGCTACTTCTATGGTGTGTGAAAAAAAGGATTACTTGATAGACTCAAAAATTAAATAATTTTAGTACATAGTCTGAATCTCTAATTGAAAATTAGAAGAAAAATATCCTGAGTTCATTATGAAATTGTAAAAATAAATTTAGTTAATAATATATTGATATAAAAAATTTGTAATTTATTTTAGTATTTTTTTGATATGCTATAGAATGAAAATTATATCAATGTAAGTTTAATAAAGGTATTTAAGATATTTGAATAATTAATATGTTGTTCTTATTAACACAAACACTATGATTATATAGCAGATAGTTCGATAAAAACTACTTTCCTTTTATATAAAATGTATACAATCGCGAAAATAGTAGAACAAAACACTAGACACGATATTGTATATTACAAAAGTAAAAATTGTATTTCATTTATACATTCGATGTTCTGTACTTGAAAACTAGAAGCAACAGTGAAAAGAAAAATGAGAACACCAATGTAACGGAGTAAAAATCAAAGCAGTGAACTTGTGTCTTGTTTGCATTTAGTTTATACGAATTTATGAAGTGAAACGTCTTGATTGCAATAAAATGTTATTTTTCCAAAAATGTAAGGAATGTTATCATTATCATTACCTTAGCATAAGTTAGGGGGTTGTGTCTAATGGAGTCCTTCCACCTTATCAAAAATTTGCTATTATTTCTTCGATTAAATAACGTTAATTTGATATATTTCATAGAATAGTACGTTTTAACGGAAATCGATCTTCTACGTGAAGTTCAATGAACATCAATTATTATTTGATTGCCTGAAGAGACCTGAGGCCGTATTTTGGTCACTGTCTCTGGTCTCTCGCAAGCCGGTCGCTGATTGGCGAATCATTTGGATTAGCCAATCACCGACTGGCTTGCGAAAGACAAGAGACCACAGACAATAACCAGAATATGGCCCCTGGGGCCGTATTCTGGTTATCGTCTCTCCTCTGTGGTTTCTCACAAGCCAGTTCCTGATTGGCTAATCATTTGTTTATGTCTCGAAAAATGGTCGCGTCTCTCTAAACGCGATTCCGGCCAACATTTTCTCTGTTCGCTTCTGTCGTTTGTCAGAGACGAGCGGGTAATTGTCTTTCGACCTGCCATTCGTCTTTTGCCTCGATATCGTTATATTTATTGTTTTTCTCCGAAAATAACAATGTCTTATATTAATTTTTGCTCTGAAAAATGCGCTAGGTCTTATTTTCAGGGAATATCTTATTTTTTCCAGGAAGAAGAATTAACATTTATTATTGAACAAAAAAATTTCCAAGTCGAACTTAGACGAGTGTTGAACTGTAGCCTTTTTATAGCGTCAACATCGGACTTGATGACCAATTAGTGCTTACTGAACCGTAGCACTATGCAAATGTCATGTGGCATGATTCCTGGCCGACCAATTAGCCATCACCAGCCGTAACGTTATGCAAATCTGTGATTCCCAAGCCATAGTCTTATGTATATCATGCCGTGTAGTGTAATTGTCTGCTGCCCAATCAGTGGCTGTTCTTTCAAAAAGCTAACGACCACATTCAACCATCTGTCGATGACCCATTACCACTAAAGAAAAACTTCTCTAGTTCTTACTTTCAGGGGGAAGTCGTATATTTCGCAATTCAGTAAAATCTGTGCTAGGTCGTATTTTCTGCGGATGTCTTATTTTGGGGGAAACACGGTAATATGGACGACTGGATGCTACTCGCGCTGTACAAGCGTATTAGAGAACGTTCTCAACTCGGAAAAAAATATTTCCAGAGAGAAAATGCTTCTGATTTTTTCCCAGTGCCTATTCTAAAACGTCACTGATTCCATTTTTTTTTAATTTTTAATTATCCTACATCAATTACTAAACTATCGAATATGATGTTAATGTTACTTGGATAGTTAAGGAAAAACTAGATGTTAATATTTCGAAAAATATCCAAGTATGCACGCTTTTCTAACTTAGGTTATTAAAATTTTTATTTGTTAAAAGACAAATTGACATTACAATCTGTAAAAATGTTATAAAACAAAAAACAAGTTGGTCGAAATTACGTGTTTTATTTAAACACGTGCTTTCCTTGCCACGTGATCTATGATCACGTACTTCGCATTTTCGAAAATGTTACAATTTCATTGATGAAAATCCTATACCGTGTTGCGCGCGCAGTTAACCCAAACATGTATAATCAAACGAATAGAATCGTGACGTCAACAGCAAAGATGAGATCGTTACGAACGACCAGTATCACCACTCTGTATGAGAGTAAAATTTCGTCTCTCGCTTTGACGTCATTTGTCAGTGAAAAAAGAAACGAGAGATAAGTGACCGGAATACGGCCCGTGCTCTTGAACAAGAAACGCCGGTTTTCTTATGAGATCATACTCTTTGACATATTGCTAGTGTGATGAGAGTACTGCTGCAGAAACGGCATTGAGGCTTTTTGACAATTAAGTTTACAAATCCTCTTTGTGAATTTGGCTTTTTCAGGAACTAAAACAGCATTTATATGGTCAATGATTTCTATCTATTGAAGTAATTCATTGACTACATAAAGTTCTATTTCAAGCAAGAGTGACCTCTTGCTTGCAATAGAACTGTCTAAACTGCATCTTGCTGTACATGAACTAAGACTACGTGGAGTGGGGCCTGAAAACGGTCGTAAGTGCAAACCATTTCGTTCTTATTTATTGATTAGTCGGTCTTTAATGGTTTGATAAAAACTGTACAATTAAGAAAAAAAATAAATAAATAAAGCAATGCGGGAGTTTTCGCAGATTTCGCTTGAATGAGAATTTAGTTAAATATATTAATTAACTAAATATCATACTCAGCTCTAAAATAATGAATGAATCATCAATCATCAGATGCTTAGAAATGTGTATTAAACAAACATCAACGTTTTTGACTCGTATGAAAGGCCATCTTCAAATGCAACCGAAATTCGAACGTATTTTAAGTTAAATATGATCAATCGTGTTATTAAGATATATAACGGTTATTTGTAAAGCGTTATAATTAGATGAATTGTAGATAGATAGTGGAAGTAACGACCTTGCAGTGAATCAATTCCACCTGGTTTAGCTAATAGTCCCAGAGGAACTTACAGAAAAGAAATGAAGGTTTAATTTAAATGAAAGTAAGCCGAAAACAGCATTTCAGAAACATAGCAAAACATCGTTTTTTTCTATTGAAGTGGTTATTGGCCAATCATAAATAATTTAGCATGATTAAGCTACACTATATATATATATATTACTGTGAAAGACCGAAATTAGAGAATGTCGATATTCTCCGGTGAATGTCGACACACAAAAAATACGTCGGTAAAAATCCGAATATTTTGTTATATTATTATACATTCGAACAATCGCCGGTGTATGTCGACAAACACAGATAAGCTTTGATGGAGGTCGAAGAAATTGTTAATACTTTTGAAGAAAATTTGAGCAGTGGCCATAACAAATAGCATATTCCAAAGGAAAATATTAAAGAGGAGCTGCAACCCACCACATCTTTATATCAATCCCTGACTGAACAACACGAAGTTATTTCTATAATAAGAACGGCTGCAAAAGAGAATCTTCTACTGCAAGCAAAGAAAATGTTAAGAACCTCAAAAAAGAAAATTTCCTTCTGCTGAAATTGGTGACACCGTACGAATACAAGTCCCTGATGTCGACCGTGGCCGTACAGATGCCCAAAATGTGTTGGCGGTTGTTGTTGGAATAGAAGACTTCAACTTTATATATTCGCAAACAAAAATGGTACCCTCAAGCAGCTTTATACCCGTAATCAATTCGTAATTTGTAAAAAAAAGTTACTTTACTTTCCGTAAGTGATATTTCTTCACAAGAAATATCGTCGAGAGAAGCAGCTGCAGCTAATTCGAATAGTGGAGGAAAAGGCTATACACGCTGTCATTGCAAAAAGAAGTGATCCACGAATAAATGCAATTGTAAAAGCAAGGGACTCTTGTGCAATTCAAAGTGTCATAACAGTTTAAGTTGTTGCAATAAATAAGATTGTATAA